AAAATCCTCCTAATCTCAATCTTCAAATTTCAAAGCTGGAAGAAATCTCTTCCTTTCAAACTCTTAATTCCTCTGCTCCGATAATATTAGCTGATTTGAGTTGTCTATCGCCACTTCCACTTCCTAGTTCAAATTCAGGTGACTAACCTTGTAGTTTCATTCCATTATAACCCTTATCATAAACCATTTTGATTCCACCTCGCAAATAATAACAGTAAAGACAATCACTCTAAACTATCTTCAAGAATTCTCCATCTGAATCCAAAGCACATATGGCTGACCAAAAAATAAAAACAGCTTTTAGCATTTATGAACCTCTCAAGTATAGCACCATGGAACATTAAAGACCTCCGAGGGGTAAGATCATACTTTGGATTGCAGAAAATTGACGACGGATTTGTAAATTGATTTGATTTATCTTATTGAAACTGAAGTGAATTTTAAAACTTTGTTGGATCCCTTCAAGCAAAAAAGAATGTATGCAGTTATAACAGCTTTCATAGCATGCCTAGAGGCAAATTTTAGAAAAAGTGGAACCAACTTAATCAAACTTTTTGTTATTATGCGGAATTAGATTGTGTCAATCAATTGTCAATCACCGATCAAGCTTGAAGATGAGTTTATTGGGGTGTAAGGGGGCAGCACCCAGCGGTGCCAAAAAAAAAAAATTGTAAATAGCGCCTCGAAGTTGTACCCACAACCCTAAAGTATGAGCGTCCCGGTGATATTGTAGCAACGTCGAGATGCTGTCATTGCAGCACCGTAGTGTTAGAACCAGAGAAAATTTTATGCTAAAACCAGAGAGTATGCTGCCGTAGAGCATTATCGCAGTGCTACAACCTGATCATGAGCAATTTAGTGTAAGTTTTGACAGTTCAACTTGACTTCAAATAGAATGATATTCAATTTTTTGTTAAGTAATTTTGTGTTCTCTTATGCAAGGAGTGGAGTATGAGTGTCAATGAGTGTCCACGTCTATGGAACCAGGGTTTTAAACTCATAACATGCTTTATCAACCTCATGAAAATTAATTTAAGTACATAAATTAAGAGACATATCACAAAAAAATGTCTAATAACTTGCAAACATTAAGTAATAAATAAGTAAGTTAATATTACATATCACACAAAAGCTTGCAAGTTTAATAATCATAGAAAACTATATAAATACCTAAGTCATGTTGTATTTGTACTAAATATATACAATTTAATGTACAAAAATTAATAAATATGGAAATAAAACACGAGAATAAATTTTTACTACTTAAAATCACATAGTAACACAAACATAAATTAAAACTTAAGAATATCAAAATTAAACATGTAAATACATAAGAAATATATGATATGTATGTAAAAATTTCAAAAAGTTATGGGAAATTTAATTCGTGACACGTGTAATTTATAAAAATCAGGTATATATGTATTTGTTAAGATATATGCAAAGGCTTTAAATTCAAAATGTTAAAAGTTGTTATAATAGAATGTAATAAATTGCTACTATTATTAAAAAATAAAATAAAATCCTGCATTTCGTAGTGGCGGAGGTCGGCTTGAGCCCACGGCCGAAAACCCTAAACCTCCGGTCTCCCCGCTCCGATCATCGTCCTTGGACGGCAGGATCGTGAAGAAACCTTAGTTTTCTGATTAAAACCCGCCCCAATCCTTTGAATTGCGGCTCGTTTCATAGTTTCCTGAACTATTCAGCATCTTCTTCCATTCTCTTTGTAGATGGCTTGCAGCCGGAAGGCTCTGACCTCTGGTTACAATTATCTCTCCAGGAGATTCCACCCCTCTTTTCTCCACATTGTCAAGGATGACCGTGAGCTTTCTGGATCCCCTCAACCCTTGCAGCATTCGTCGAGTCCTTTGATACAACGAGCTTCCTCTTACTCTAGACCATCCTTCAGCTTCAGATCAGCGGATCGAGATTGGAGAAGGATTGGGTTCGCCCTTCCGTTTGGAATACATCAATCTTCCCGAAATTTTTCGTCTGATGCCGAGGGATCGAATGAGGTCAGTTATATAAAAGATGTAGCAGACGTTCTGACGGACGCTGGAGTGGATACTGGCATCGTCGCTGCGACGCCTTCGGGTCCAGCTCCCTTTCCCCCCGAAGCGGCCGGCGGCGCGGCGGCGCGG